GTTTATCACTCTTGCTACCGTGTTCACACTGTTGATACAAATTGTTGACGCTTCAAATTTTTTGTCGCAGGACTTTCCTTCCAACCTAATACTTTCATTGGAGTGGCCCAGTCAAGTGTCGTCTCACAAAATGAACTATGAATTTACTAAATCTAACTGTATTGCACTACATTACGTCATCAGTGTTTTCCCAGGACAACCATGACAGCGATAGGGAGGGGAGAGGGGGTGAGGGGAACGTTGTAAGGGTGAATAACCAAACAAATGTTCCCCCACCTGAAGAACACATCTTTTTTTGTCAGTGGTAAAATGATCCGAAATTAGCTGTCAGAACGTAGGTGATAATTTGACTCAGCTTTCGAAGAACCTTCAAACTAACGTTACTTCGTTCGAATCCATCGTTCATTCAGTGTTTACGAGTAAGTCAAGCTGAACAGAGCAATAATTGTAGGCTGTAGGGTATGGTAACTACCGGTGTGCCTTGGATGTAGCAAGACTTCTACGTAAGCTCAGTGCTTCAAATTGCTTACTGGGCTTCAATTGACGCAAACCGTCGGACACCTCCTAATCAGGCATCGACTCTGTTTGATCTCGTTCCCATACTCCTTTCCCATTGGCACTGAAAAAACTGAACTGCTTTGAAAGATTCTTGGATCACCTATATTACCTGTCGTCCCGTTGATCATTGATTCCCTCGCGCAGAAGCCAGTAACGTCTCCATTCTTTAGGGTGGTCCAGTGGATCGTACTCGCTCGAGGGACACGAGGCATAGCATAGTATGGTTATTGTAAGAGATCTGACCAACGCGCTGACGATTGTGCCTGCATTTGTTTGAGGTCCCGAGGGATCCAATCAACAACCGCCCTGGTCCACGGTCATCACGATATCGCATAACGTATCCTGCCCACATGATCTTCGAATTTCTGGCGTAAGTAACAGCATCCCTGGTCTTCGTTCATTGGCGAAGATCAGAGCTCCAGATTCCCTTCTGCACTTGCGTGAGCCGGGTAATTCCGAGCATCGTCGTTCCCAGAGCACATTGAGTGACGCTGACAGCATGTTTATACTGCTTTCGTAGAGCTCAAGTCTCTGCGGTGTAACTCAGAGCAGGAAAAGTAGTGTCGAAAAGGTGAACGAGGAGCTGGATGTTCTTTGTCTTCTTCTTGATCCAAATCTTGGATAAGTGGACTATACATATATTAGGTTGGCAAAAAAGTCCTGCGACAAAATAGAGACGTTTTTTAAATCATTTCTAAATTTTTTCATATCAATTAAATTTCGGAAAAATATTTACCGAAGAAGTCAACAACCTTATTTTATTCTTTGAGTAAATAACTGATACCTTTTATCCAGGAGTAAGGGAGCTGTGACTCGTAGAAGTAATCTACTGCCGCTTGGATCACATAAAGTTACGAATTTCTTTTCCACAACGGGATGCTCAAGAAGGCGGAGCACATGGTAGTTAAAAGGGGGAACACCGGAAGTGTGACTGATGTATAACCTGGAATCAAGCGGGATCGGTGAACTTTGACGTGAGTCGAAAGCGAATTTACGACGTGCGTTGTCCCTCTGTAGGGACCTGATTTACGGTTTGATCGTCCTTCTCTAACCCCGTTGGTCAAATAAAGGAGATCATAGGGGCAAGCTATAGCTGTGTC